CCAAAACGCTAATTCTCAATGCAGTCATGGAGTGTGCCGCTATCCTCGCCTTTGCCCTGCAGGACTGGCTTGACGCCGGTCTGATTGTCGCCATTTTGTTGCTCAACGCCGCTGTCGGTTGGTACCAAGAGAAGCAGGCTGCCGACGTCGTCGCCTCCCTCAAGGGTGACATTGCCATGAAGGCTCGTGTCGTCCGCCAGGGCAGAGAAGAAGACATCCGCGCTCGTGAACTCGTCCCCGGTGACATTGTAAGTCGTCTCATCTCGATTATCGCATCGGCGATTCAGGGAAAGCCAATCTTACTTACACGGACTCTCTAGATCATTGTCGAGGAAGGCCACGTCGTCCCCGCCGATTGCCAGCTTATTTGCGACTACGAGAACCCCGCCGGCTACAGCGCCTACAAGGCTGAGCTCGAGGCTCAGGATGTCATGTCCCCCCGCCGCGAGAAGTTCGAGGAGGGTGATGAGGAGAACGCCAACCCCGCCCTCGGACACTCCATCGTCGCCGTTGACCAGTCTGCCATGACTGGTGAGTCCCTCGCTGTCGACAAGTTCATGACCGACACTTGCTACTACACCACCGGTTGCAAGCGCGGCAAGGCTTTCTGTATCGTCACCCACGGCGCCCAGGCCTCTTTCGTCGGAAAGACCGCCTCCCTCGTCCAGGGCGCCCAGGACCAGGGTCACTTCAAGGCCATCATGAACTCCATCGGTACTACGCTTCTCGCCCTTGTCATCATCTTCATCCTCGCCGCCTGGATCGGTGGTTTCTACCGCTCCATTGAGGTCTCTGAGGAGGGCACTTCCGTCAACTTGCTCCACTACGCCTTGATTCTTCTCATTATCGGTGTCCCCATCGGTCTGCCTTGCGTTACCACCACCACCTTGGCCGTCGGTGCCGCCTACCTCGCCGAGGAGAAGGCTATCGTCCAGAAGCTTACCGCCATTGAGTCCCTTGCCGGTGTCGACATTCTCTGCTCCGATAAGACTGGTACCCTCACTGCCAACCAGCTGTCCGTCCGCGAGCCCTTCGTCATGGAGGGAGTCGACATCAACTGGATGATGGCCGTTGCCGCCCTTGCCTCTTCCCACAACATCAAGGCTCTCGACCCCATTGACAAGATCACCGTTCTCACCCTCAAGCGCTACCCCAAGGCCAAGGAGCTCATCTCTGACGGCTGGAAGACCGAGAAGTTCACTCCCTTCGACCCCGTCTCCAAGCGTATCACCACCATCGCCACCCACCGTGGTGTCCGTTACACTTGCGCCAAGGGTGCCCCCAAGGCCGTTCTCGCCCTCACCGACTGCACCGAGGAGCAGTCCGCCCTCTTCAAGGAGAAGGCGGCCGAGTTCGCTCGCCGTGGTTTCCGTTCCCTCGCCGTCGCCGTCAAGGAGGAGGATGGCCCCTGGGAGATGCTCGGCATGCTGTCCCTCTTCGACCCCCCTCGTTCTGATACCGGCCAGACCATTCTCGAGGCCCAGGCTCTCGGTCTCCAGGTCAAGATGCTTACTGGTGACGCCCACGCCATCGCCGTCGAGACCTGCCGCATGCTCCAGCTCGGTACCAAGGTTTACAACTCCGACAAGCTTCTTCACTCCGACATGGCTGGCACTTCCATCCACGATCTTTGCGAGCGTGCCGACGGTTTCGCCGAGGTGTTCCCCGAGCACAAGTACCAGGTCGTCGAGATGCTTCAGCAGCGTGGTCACTTGACTGCCATGACTGGTGACGGTGTCAACGATGCTCCTTCCCTGAAGAAGTCTGACTGCGGTATTGCCGTCGAGGGTGCCACCGAGGCTGCCCAGGCCGCCGCCGATATCGTCTTCCTTGCTCCCGGTCTCTCCACCATTGTCTCCGCCATCAAGCTGTCTCGCCAGATTTTCCAGCGCATGAAGGCCTACATCCAGTACCGTATCGCCCTTTGCTTGCACTTGGAGATCTACCTGGTCACCTCCATGATCATCATCAACGAGACTGTCCGCGCCGACCTGATTGTCTTCCTCGCTCTCTTCGCTGATTTGGCCACCATTGCCGTCGCTGTAAGTATCTGCCTCACTCAGCACATTCACTTCATGTCACTAATCAAACCAATAGTACGACAACGCCCACTTCGAGAAGCGTCCCGTCGAGTGGCAATTGCCCAAGATCTGGATTATCTCCATCGTTCTCGGCTCTCTCCTCGCTGCCGGCACCTGGATTCTCCGCGGTACCATGTACATCACCGAGGGTGGTGTCATCCACGACTACGGTTCCGTCCAGGAGATTCTCTTCCTCGAGATCTCCCTCACCCAGAACTGGCTCATCTTCGTCACCCGTGGCTTCGACACCTTCCCCTCCTTCCAGCTCATCGGTGCCATCGCCGCCGTCGACGTCCTGTCCATCCTCTTCTGCGTCTTCGGCTGGTTCTCTGGCGGCCGCGGCGAGCCCGCCTCCCCTCCCTCGCTCAACAAGTTCCTGTCCGAGAACGGCCGCACCGACTTCGTCACCGTCTGCGTCGTCTTCGTCTACTCCGTCGCCGTCACCATCGTCATGGCCCTGGTCTACTACGTCCTGACCAACCTCCGGGTCCTCAACGACATGGGCCGCAAGAAGCGCAGCGTCACCGACACCCTCATCGAGAACGTCCTCACTCAGCTGAGCAAGGTCGCCCTCGAGCACGAGAAGGACGACAAGGGCGAGCGCTTCTACATTGCCAACCGCGCCGTCGTCGAGGAGGGCTAAGCGTCCTGAGTCGAGCAACTGGAGAGAGTTTCGACCAAAACATGAAAGAAATCAAAAAAATCAACACAAAAATTAGACATCATGTTATTAGGAGCGCGCGCGGCAGAGCAGTCACAAACAAAGCGTGTTTTGAACGGCATCGAGTTTCACAACAAAAAAACCATTTCTGAAATCATTTTTTTTCCATATCCCACTATAGAGAAAGAAGAAGGCGATGATACTTCTTAGGTGCGAGGAAGAGAGAAAGACCAGCCAAAAGGGAAAGGCGAGGGACACACCAACCTCTAGATGACGCGCTTGGTAATATTTGGCGACATCGACACGACTGTCACTAATGACCCATTTTCACGAGCAGTTTTCTATAATGTAACAAAAAGACCATCATGTTCATTGTTGTGGCGTTGATCGGGTCAAGGGTCGGTCGGTTAATTCAATTAAATCTGAACAAGTTAAAACAAATCTGCGAGTTCCTTCAATCGTGACATGTATGTAATCTTCTCAACTTGATATCACACTATGACATTGTCATGTATTCCCACTACGATTCAAAGCCCAACATCGCTCCCTCGGGAGACTGACAACATCCTTCGGCCCGATCTGTATTACAAGGCGAGAAAAAGACAGCCCAAATCCCAAGAGTCTTAGACCTGAAGAGAGACCCTGGACACCCTTGCTTCCCGTCCGAGGAGGACCACCCCATTGGGCCTAACCTACACAGTTCAACCTTTTCCGCAACTACGGCTGTTTCTGACTACCAGACACTCGGACCGCTTCATGCGTAAGCCGTCCTTCTCTTCCTCTTTTCTCTCTCTTCTCTCCCCACCGTAACCTCTCCGACCTCCGGACTTTCTCCCGTGTTGTTGGGAACGCCGTGCAGGATGAGTGGTTGGTGGCCCATGTTCCCACCCTCTTTGACGACGGCCAAGATCCGTCCACCGGCAATCTTTTCTTCCCTCGAGTCGGGACGACGCAGGAGGAGGGATCTGGAGGGTGGGCACGAGGCGGCGAGGACGAGAGAGAGGCGAAAAGGCGAGAAGCGGGAATCCCGGGATGAGAGTTTAGGCATGATGGCATTGAGACGTCGGGCTTGCCCCCTTTCCCCCTCCTTCTCACTCTCTGTGCGGTTTGTTAGCCGTTACTAGTGCGTATGCCTTACGACGTCCTGATGGATGTTCCTGATGGATGACGAAGACCATTCTTTTTTTTTCCCCTGTGTCCCAGCTCTTTCTGAATCACGCTTCTTCTGATTCACGGGTCGATCGCTCAAGTCAGACACTTTCTCAACCCCTTGAATCCTGCCCGGGTCAACCGATAACGCGAGATGCCCGAGGGGGCCCAAGGGGTGGTGCGGATGGACCAACACTTGGTCAAGATTGAAAAGAAGCCTTCTATTTTTTTCTCGTCTCCTCTTCGCCTTCTCGTTTTCTCCCTACGCCGGAGCACGAAAGATTATGCGGGCTCACTCTCTTCACGAGACGATATGCACGACATGTCTTGAGACGTTTTTGTTAGCCCCCTTGGAGTTGGTCTCTGCGCTTCTGCTTTGAGAGGCGCAAAGGATGAGATCGCTGCTTGTTTGGATACTTCGCACAGTACCGCTTTCTCTTTCAGGTCAACCTTTTCCTCAGAAGTTTCCAGCCCAAGCGGTGTTGGACTCGTGTAGACGATGGAAGCCGGGCAAGCGAGTACGTGTAAGCCCTTAGAAGCACCCGCGCTTCTAACCCTCCTGAGTCAATGATCACACACGGCATGATACCTACCAGGAGTGGGAAGATAATACATCAACTGATCGCATTCACACCTTACCCGTTGGCCTTTGATTGAGTTATCTGACTCTGCTGCCGATACCATGTCGCCATGTCGACTTCCCGAACAGCTGTCTTGCCGGGACGCGTGGATCACCGGGAGTCAGGGTGGCATGGGCAGGAAAGTCTGTTGAAGTATGGCATATAGCACACAAGAGTGTAATTCCCTAGCAATGTGCTGAAATTTTGACAGGTTTTCCAAGGCTTGATATGTAGCGCTAGCAGTACCTACCAAACTTGGTAGGATCATTCAAGTAATTCGAACACTTCTCTTCCTCGGCCGCTTGCCTATCCGCTTGCCCTTTACCCTATTGGAAGTCAAATCATAGAGCCCTTCGATGGAGATGGCTTACTCCTATACCAGAAGGTCATGAGTGTATACAAAAACGCAAACTCGGATTATAGAGAACCTGATGACAAGATACTTGAAGACCCAAATGAGCCCAAACGGTCCATGCGAATTCGTGACTTCTACACCTTGTTTGCTTTCGTTGCATACTGCTGTTCTATAATTTTCCCCCAAGCTTTCAGTGAAAGGATGTTTCCTTTAATTCGGACCTCGTCCTTGGACAATTCCTTGACCCTGAATTTTTGTTCCGGAAATTTCTCAAAGAGGTGGTCTTTGCTGCAAACGAAATTTCCTAGGGTGCCCTCTTGCAGTTTCTTGAGGCATTCCTCGTCGAATTGGACTTGACCGCACTCATCTATGCACGTCCACATACCGTTTGGATTATCAAACTCCTTGTCACAGCCGTCACAAAGTATTTTCATGCCGTATATGGGCTCTTTAGGCTTCCCTGATTCCTGGCCATCATCGTCGTGTTCTTCTGGCGCCAATTCGATACCGGATACTGAGGGAGGTGGTGCTGCCCGTGCATCGGGGGAGTCGTCTTGACTATGTGTGGTGTTCGCTCCGTGTCCTAAGTACCTGTCAGCTACACAGTACGGTCTCTCGGGGGGAGTGGCTTCAACTTGGATGAGGCAAGTGATTTCCGCCGTCGTGAACCTCACCATTGCTATTGTTTTTGTTCGATTCATTGCGGCGCCTCCACTCGATCATTTGCTCTTCCCATTGTTCCTTATTCCTCACATGTTCCGTGTATTCCACCGCTGCAAGCATAGTCACTGCTGCGATGGCGTTGTCAATGTCTTTGAAGGTCCAGAAAAGTGCCTGTAATTGCCAGAAGCACTGATAGTCGTCGCTTGAGTCGTCATTCAGCATCATCTCAAGAGACTGTGATACCAGATCCCTTGCTACTTCCTTTGCTTTCTGAGATTTTCCACGGGCAAGGTAGTATCTTGAGAAATAGAGTACGGTCAGCGGCATGGAATCGCTCTTCTCGTAAGATTTCATGAAATCCTTGTGCAGCCGGTCAACTCTTTCTTCGAACTCGGGCGGCTCCGTCTTCGTCATTTTCGACGCCGCGACTCGCGCTGTGTACATTGGCATGATGTACCGCAGTACTTGGTTTTGCATCATGCGCTCGAAGTACTCAAATCCGGGTTCAATCTTTCTATCCATGAGTTCCTCAAACACTGCGAGCGCTTCATCCTGATGCTTCGGAGACCTTGAAAGGGAAATGCCGTAACTGGATCGCAGCTCAAAAGTGACCCAGAACGAGGAATTTCCCTTCTCACCCTGCTCATAGATGGCTCTCAACAGATCCCATTCGTCTAGGGCGTCTGCAGTCCGCACGAGGGCGATCATGAAAGGATCGGAATAGATTCCCTCCCACATGATCTTCCCAATAGCATTCCCGTGCCTCTGGGGAAAGCCCGCGACAAGCTGCTTCATCAGAGAAGCAATATGTCTCCACATCTTCGATTCTGCGTATCGCTTTACTATGCTGACGTATCGTGTGTGATGCGTGCCGTCTTTCTCAACACTTTTACTGTACGCTTCGGCAGCTTTGACTTGATTCTCTTGACCGCCCATGTTCCAAAGTCTGTCGCCTTGCTCAAGGTACAATTCCGCCAGAAGCCTTTTGTCTCGAGAAAGGCCGGGGCATTCCTCGCCAGACATGTAGCTGATGATGATACCCTCAAGAAGCTCGGCAGCATCTTCGTCCCTCTCAATAGCTCGAGCCAGGACGTAAGATGCCTTCCAGTTGGATGGGTCCTTGTTCAATGCTTCACGCGCTAGATTCTCAACATATCTGAGAGGAATGTCTTTGTGTCCATTCTTGTTGAGATTGAGAAGTACGGCGGCAACATGTGCTGTCCAAACCGAGGTAGGATCGCTTGCTGACGTTCTCAACGCCCAAACCTCCACAGCTTTCACCTGCTCAACTGTGGGCGTCCATATATTGTCTTCGTCGATGACTTTGTCTTCAGCGTTTGACTGGAATGAAAAGTCAGTTGCTACGTTTTGTCAGAATCTGGGGAAGGACATGCTTACCCTTGCCTCAGCAACGAGAAGAAATGCGAATGACGTTTCGATCTCGTAGGTTGTCGCACCTGGGTTTAAGAGGTGCGTGACTGCCCTCTTCACAGCAAACTTCAGTAGCTCGAAAGGTTGCTTCTCAATGACGTGGTTTGGCGCTGTCAAAGACTTCACCAAGCCGCTCTCACCGGTGTGTCGTAGAACATCAGTATCCCGGAAAAGCGACGTCTTCAGAAGATTAAGTGCCTTGTCATCCATGATCCAGGCACTCCAGCTGGCCGGAAGTTCTTTCAGCTCGAGGACACTCCTTCTGTCATCACTGACGGGGTAACAAAATCCAAACAACGAGTCCATGGCGTAGTCTTCGAGAAATAGTCTTGCAAGATAGCCCGCCACTTGAGCTTGAAGAAAAGGGTCTCTCTGGGATCGATAAGGAGAATGCATCTCGTCATCTGACGAATCAGATTTGTCTGTAGCGCCGTATTCATCATCCGGGGAAGACCGCTCGTCATGGGTGTCGCCGGGCTCAGTAATAGCTGAGCATAAGTGTTCGTGGAGATTTTCTGCTGCGTAGCTGTAAAGCGCCCTGGTTTCGGGTTTCCGCTCATCCACGAGACACATGAGACAGCGAAGAGAAAGAACAAGTTCTGCATTTGCCGGGTCTTGACAAGTATAACTTGCCTCGCTGCTGAGCTTCTGTTCGAAGAATTCCGTGAAACCGAACTTGTCATAAAGACTCTTAGGACAGACAGTCTGCAGGTAATGTTTCACCAGATTCACCTCAGCTAGCTGTATGGCCATCGAATCTGTAGTGATGCCACCGCGGGCGACGCCAGGGTTTGATCTCTTGTGTGGAATGCCCTGTTTGGCCTCTTCAATGCTCAGGCCGCCTTTGAATTTGATTTCTTTATCCTCATCGCGCTCGAAGAGCGAATAAGTGCCGCCCTCAATTCTGGACTTGAGTTTTCGGGCTGTCATATTCCGCTCATTGTCCTGCTGCGACTTGCTCTCTGCGGCATGCGCGAGTGATAATGCTGCCGCCATCTGACGCAGATTCAACCATGTCCGTCCATCGATGACCCAAAGAATCATCTCGTTGATATCGAATATGTTGTGAGGACTCTGCGTGTCGATGGATTGGACCATTCCGGATATTTTGCTAGCTGCTGTACTGCTGGCGCCTGTGAGACAGTTCTCAACCCAGTCTTGATCCAGGGGCTTCTTCTTAATCTTGTCCAATACATGGGCCATATTGCGGTAGTCTCCTCTTGCCGACCCTACCAACTTGTTGCTTATCCTTCTTCTCATTCGTGCGGCCCGTACATTGGATCGATTCGTCAATTCCGGCATCCGGTTCATACGATCGTCGATAAAATTGTCGATGTCTGAGCGGTTCTCATCCCTCAACCTGATAACTTCAATCCCGAGTTCATGTGTTTCTTCCAGGTCACTGAAGAATGCCGGCACGCCCGTAATTAGAATACGGATTCGTTGACAGGCTTTGACTTGACTCTCGACCGCATCCAAAAGAGATTTGGCAAACTTGGTATGTGCAGTTGCCAGTCCATCAATGACGATGAAGAATCTGGCTTCCGTCTTGCCAGAAGCCACATTTGAGATCAGAAGATTCCACATGTCGTCGTATCTCACCATCAGCCGTTTCGTTTCGCAAACTGCTGCGGTTGATTTGAGAAAGGGCCGGCAAGAGTCGGCGAATTGCCAGAGAAGGCTTCGTATGATAACAGGCTCGGTATCCCTTTCTGCGTTTGACTCGGTCTTCCGGCTGTCCTCCACGAAGTAGTATGCCACATAAGACCCTTTGCCCAACTGATTCAGATGTTCGATGATCTTCGATGCCAGATGCGTCTTTCCTGTGCCTTCGTCTCCCTCGAGCCCCAAGACAGGCATATGATGACTCTCCCCCCGTGCCCAATTATGGAAGCGTTCGTGGTTCCAAAGCCAGCGACCGTCATCATGGGACGACCTTGCCAAGTGTTTCAATAAACGCTCCTTCCAGAAAAAGATTGGGATCTTGCCCTCCGTACTCTGTAGCACAGAGCCATTCGGCCACCCAAGCTCGTCTATCACGGTAGATTTCCACTTCTTCTCATCAGTCCCAGTCTTCCAGTCAAACATAAAGCCATTGACATTCCTATCAACCCGATCCAGCTTTTCCAAGATGTCCATCTGGATTTGCCGGAATTCCTTCTTGTTGAGCTTCTTCGCTTCTTCTATAAGGTTCTTCACCTCGTCATTGTTTAGGAAGGTCGAGTTGAAGAAAGCGCGCGCTTTGAAGCGCACTTTCTGACGCAACTTGAGTGTGAGGTCGCAGACGTTGACAAACAGCATCAACTGCTGGCAAGCAATAAGCCTCAGCTTTGGCGTGGGATTCAATTTCTTGATATCATCAAGCCTGCCAAGCGACTCAATGAACCCTTGCAAAAGCTGGGCCAGAGCCTCAAACATGCCCTTATAGCCTTGATAAGCAAGAATGACAAACGTCAACGCGTTGAAGCAAGTGTTTGCAGGCCCGCCGAAAACCTAAGATTCCAGTAAGCACACGAATCACGAAAAATACAATTAATACGTCTCATCGCTAGATCTTACCTGTGATATAGGCCCAATCACGATGTCCCCGAGAGTCCGGATGCAAGTCAATGTCTTGTCAAAGGTCTGCTGGACCTCCTGAAACCTTCCTGAGCCATCAACAGACCTCTGAGCTTGAGCAGCCAATAGATCCGTGACATTCTTGACTGCCAGGTCCCCCCTTGGGACTTTTACGCCTGTTGTCTCGGCCATACTGCGCACTCGGTCTTCAACGACTTTCCAAATCTTCCCGAGTTCGTCGTCTGGATCCTTGGGAATATCAGGGTTCTCGGGCACAGCAACCTCTGAGGGCGACATATTGACGTGTGATTGAAGTTTCTAAGAGCTAAGCAACTCTTGCCTGGAATCTTGATGACAACTGAGTTGTAGCACTTAAAGACAAAAGTAAGACTACAAAGCAGATCAGATGAGGTCCGTCGATGATGGGGATGGGGAGCTTCTATAATTCTATGAGTCTAGGTAATGTAGCTATACGGTGTCCGGCTTATGGGTCGAGGACTTTTCAGCCTGACGAAACTATCGACTGATGTGCATTCTGCAGCCAAGAAAATATATTGGATGTGCGAATAACGCCTGCAGCACGCACTCAAACAGATCGCCAGCTCGTGGCTTCCTGTGATTGGCAACAATTGCTCATGATGCCACAGAAAGGGACGTGCAGGAAATGAAATCCGAATGGGTGCTGGATCTACGGGGTTGAACGATGTATCATATTCTACTACTATACTTTGCGAGAAGTTTGACGACTTGAGTTGAGTTGTGACCTCGGAATTGAGGGGCGGCAGCAAACTTATACATAGACTATATTCAATGAGCATTGATACGCGCCGAAGTATCTGGTGACTATGTATTGAAGAATACATCGACTGATATTGGACATTATAAAATCAGATTTATAACGTGAAGGAGAACACCTGCATTTTGCGTACATACTAACATTTCCTGTCACCCAGATTCAAATCTTGACCCGCCACAGCAAAGGGAGAGAAGAGGCAAGAAAGGCAGAAGAGGGTTGGGGCAGGTAGGCTGAGGATTCCCCTTGCAGGCATTTCTTATCTTCAGCTGATACAGCTGCAGCTGCATGTCTCAGGCTAGCTCCAGTATATGCAAGAAAGTCCGCGTTCTTACTGAACGAGCAGCCATCTGGATGTTGCGTCTATGCAACGCGACCATTACGGTATGCCGCGCGAGAAAGACTCATTGTCCCAGTTCTGTCCCTGGTTGATGGTTTTGCCCGCCTTCTTTTACCCAAATGTTCGAGGCCCTCTGCAAGCTGAGCAAACATGCACACACGTACATTGTTGGGAGGCAAATTGAGATCCCGGAAAGTCAGCGGCGGAGTTTCCACTCCGTTTATATAAAGCTTGGTTCCAGAAAACCTGTTACTAGTTATATGGACCTCTGTGGATGGCAAGGAGCGTGGTCCAACCTGTTGAGTCTACACTCGAACCGCCGACTTGTCCAATGCCAAGGGTAGCGTTAGCATTCGCACCGACAACCCTTGTCAGTTGCCTAGACATAGTAAATTCAGATTTGCTGTCAGAGTCGATGATTTGTTGCCTTACTTGCCATTTCCTATGAAGCAAGTGTACACTGGCCGCGGCGCCTTTAACCAGTAGGTCCCTAAGACCCGACTCCCATAGTGTCATGAAGTGCCACACTCCCTTGGTGTGGCAACATGTCACCACCAAGCTACTTTCGGACTCATTGAAACCACGGCCAGGCCCGGAAAGAGGTGCGGCACTCGGTGTCACTATCAGCAGACCCCACAGAGTGTATGCATGCGAGTTACCGTTGATGCGGTGGGATCTTTCACACATCGTTGGACACTACTATCTCACCTCGGCAGTCACAGGAACTCAATCACGCCGTCGATGTGACGAGGCACTGTTAAGCATAGTCTTGAACGTTCACGCAGGTCGAGAACGGCTAGAATGGGTAATATGTGGAAGAAGAGGGAAACTTAGGGTGCTGTTGGAGTTGTTGATGGGTACGATAGTGAAGCTTGCCACCACGAGTGCCTTGATGAGTACGTCCATTTGTCGGTAGCCAACGAGGAGACAACAATAAACGGGATGAAGCTGCTTGAATCATGCTTGAAAAGCTGCTCTTAGTAGTGTAGATAGATGATACAGAGAGCCTTCTTCGGCTCTTAACAGCATGTCTGAAGCCGAAGGATTGCCAACCCCTGCCTATCAAAATTTTGGCCCGATGATCACAAAATCATAGTTAGAGGCTATATGTTTCTCAGTATCGGCGTTGTCCTCTACGGTGTTATCAAAGGTCACGCTAGGGCATGTGTGTGTTGAGCATGGGACTTCGTCTAGCCCCGCAAAAATCAACTCAGAGGTTCTGGTGCGTTGACATGCAGACTTCCAGCAAATCTTTTCATCGAATTATCAATGGTGCTGGTTTTTGTTTGTGTCAGGACATTGATGGCCTAGGACACTTAAAAAGACATCGCGCCGCCTCCAGTGTAAACTTCTGAGGGTAAGAAAGCAAGTGACTTATATCGACGATTGTGCTCTATGTGAATCTACGTTTACGTCGTGGTACTAAAAGTTCTGTTACCCGCAGAAAGATGTTATTTCAGCCAAGTATGCCACGGAAGGCAGGAGGCGGGCGGAGGAACCACATGAGAGCCCAGCTGCGTCAGGGCATAATTCTCTTTCTAGGGCTCATCAAAGTACGAGTAGGCATACTGAATGGCTAGAGTTCTCTGAAGTTATCTCCAGTCTGATTCAATCTCGGACTTTTGGCCTTTGGTTCATGGCTTAGACATTTCTACACCCGAGGGGAACACTGACGAAGTACCAAGCCGAGGGACTCACTCTCAACCACGCATGTTTCCGGATTTCATCGACTTTGAGTAAGACACGGAAACTTGAGCTCTCAAGCCATATATCCGCATGGTCAGGAAGTTCATCGGTCAAATGAGGTTTCCATGGCTCTCGCAAATGCGAAGAACAACTTGATGAGTGGTGGATGCTGCGTCTAACACTGCAAAAGAAGCGTTAAGTGCGTTATGTTCTCAACCCGCAAACAAAGTAATAGCGATCAGAGATTGAAAATAAGAATACACTTCTACGTATTCACAGCTGTTTGGAGGTGTTTCCATTGCGCTAAAGCTGTGGCGCTCTTGTCTCATTGCAATAGTCCGGATCTATGGACAGCTTGACAACCTCATACAACCACATACGACCATACCCATTGGAAAACTCGGGATCCCGTCCGCTCTCCCATAGATAAGCCAATGAGGGCCGGATTAGTAGTTGGGTCGGTGACGACCAGCGAATACCTGGTGTTGTATGTTTTTGAAGTTTTGGTGGATTCGCGAGCATGCTAGATGTGTGGGTTTGTGTGGAGTTCAGGGCGACGGGGGCGGGGGTGACGACGTTTTGACTTGCTCGTATGCTTTGGCTAGAAGAGACCCTATTTGGACGTGTAGCAGCACTATGTGGCTTTGCATGTTATAAAAATAATCACGCCTGCTGGTTGTCCCGGAAGGTCTGACCCCTTGAGTGGACGCGAGGCGACGTTAGTTGATATCGTTTGCGGTGTGTCCATTATTAGGAGCAGCAAGTCTTAAGACACCACCCCACACGACGGATCACCCCCTACGACGGATCACCCAATTCGGCCACATTCAGCCAAAACCGCTATTCCATATATATATAAATAATTAAAAAATAAATATTTCAAAAAATACATAAGCTATAAAAAAATATAATTAGTATAGAAAAATATTTTAAAAAATTATTTTTATATTATATTATATAATAATATTAGATTTAAAATATGTCTTTAAATGTTAGTGTTTACTAGTAATTTCCATATAAATACTAACATTATACTATATTATATAACTCTTTTATTTATTAGAAAAAATAAAATTTTAAAGTGGATTATTTTTAATAGATTTATATTATACTTATATAAATAGTTTTTTATTAGTAATATAAGTATTATTATATAGAAATATTAAGTTATATTATAATAAGTAGTATTTATAAAAACTTAAATTTCCTAAGCTTATGTAATTAGTATAACGCTAAAAATAGTATATTTAAGCTTAGAAAAATATTTTAAAAATTCTCGTATTTTAAAATACTTAACTTTATTTATTTTTTATAAAGTTAGAAATCGTATTTTTATATAGTAAAAAACATTATATTTAACTTAATAATATCTTAATAATTATAATAGATTATAATTTATAAAAATTATTTTAGTAAGGAAACTGTATATTCTATATTTAAGAGTATTTTTTATATATTTTTTATATTATAAAATGAAGTAGGTAGAATTAGTGGTTTTTGACTGAATTGTACCGAATTGGGTGATCCGTCGTAGGGGGTGATCCGTCGTGTGGGGTGGTGTCTTAGAGCTTCTATCAACGGCTCTCGGGCGCTTTTGATTGAGATCACTTCATGTTTACATTGATTCAGATGCATGAAATGCTTTTCCTGTGTTAGTCGTGCTGTCACGGCCATCAACATTGCATTGGAAGAGATATCGATGCTTCTGACGTTCCCTCGAGAATAGCGATCTTTCATAGGTAGGTCGGATTGAACTGAAAGTTAGTACTCAGACCGATATCTGGTAGTATTAGGCTGCTGTCTCTATGCATCTACTGGTTGTGCTTCTCTATATATTGTTCATACCCCGAGTGTTGCTATTTAGGCCTCGTATACCGATGTCTGGAGTTAAGATCTCAGCTATGAATCTCCATGACAATACAATATGTCACTGCTGAACTTAAAATTATTAAAGAAAGCCCCTTAGGCCTCGTGTGGAGTAGATACAACAAAGGTGCGGCAAAGACGAGTCCCCTTGGAGGGTGACCTGGCAAGCTCACGTTTGACCACAGGTCTATGTTCTGCAAAGTCGCAGCAAGAAAAGCCTTCGAGTTTCCGTTCTATCCGAAATTTGTCTCCAATATCCCCGTTTACAAGAGGCAACACGAGGGGTCTCGAAACCCTGATGCCAAATCTGAGCCAAGTCTGGCTGATAGACCTCTGATTCATGATGAATCAACTTCCAAGGAAGCCTGGTTTGCCCAATGAAGGCCACCATAAGACTCTATAGTGAATTTCAATGGATAGAGGTCATGACTATGGGGTATTCCGCTGCATATCAGTTTATTCGCCATAAGCTAAAATCTACCCGTCAGAAGAGTCTGCTATGTAAGCCTCATTTTGCTCGCCCATCTTGCTGACGAATGACATACAAACACGACCGAGACGTTCCAGACCTTTGACAAGACTCAAGCCACATGTCATTCTGTCCTACACTTTGTCTCGATGTAGTGACATAGAGACGCGCATGGCTCGGACGCTCCTGCCCGGGCCAGCCAGTAACGAACGGTGCCGTCGGAGGAGACTGCGGGTAAGTACATGTAGACGTCAAGTCTCTTCTCGATATTGTTTCTCATACAAACTTGCGTTTTCGAATCACATGTCTTCGTTTGCGGCATGGGCTCAAGGTAAGCAGGGGCCTTGCATTGCCCATAGGTTCGATATAGCTCGTAGCATTCGTCGAAATCACCACCATTAGGTGCGCGAGAGAGAATGTGTGTATGTGGGCGAGAAAAAGAGTCTGGACCCGCATTCGTCTGATTATAGAACAACAATCGCTCTCTGAAGCCGAGTTGACACTCAATAGATGGAGCTAGCTTATTGCTTTATAAGTTTGGCCAAAGTTGAACCATGAATAGAGGAAGAAGTAGATTGTCAGGGTGCCATCACACAAAGTGTCCGCCAGAGCAGAGTACTGAGTAACGATAGCGATAGCTGAGGAATAGAGATTGATACCATGTTGTCTAGCTATCGCATCCATATTTCAAGAGGGCACATTTGATGATGGTGGAACTTAGCATGCCTCTAACATCATAAACATCAACACATGATCATGGAAATTACACACGGGAGACTTTCTCCTACAAACTTTACGCCTTTGAAAGACACCTAGATATTCTCGATAACTCTCAGGCAGATACAAGTATGGTAACGTCTCTGAAGCGAAATGTCTTCCCGCTTCAAAAGCCACATTCACAACAAGAAACCGTCAGTCCATTCAATAACGGTCACCATGAATCAGGAGTAAGACTTCGTGCCCAAAGTAGAACCTACGTAAATGCTTCCTCTTCGATATCAAGTGCAGTCTTCCAAGGATATCGAGTCTTCTTACATCAACCACAACGGAACATGATCGACAAACCGAGAGGCTCTTCACGAGTCAAATCCTCAGCTCAAGTCAGCTAACACATGCCAAAACACGACATTTGACAACACAAGAGTAGGCCGCAAACTGACACAGAACACTATTCGGCAATTGAAGTCATCGTCGTCGTTGCCAACGTCGTCATCGTGAAGTACATTAAACGTCATACTGCATATCAACACAAGAGTCATTCAACCCAACAGCGTGTCAGCTCACTGCTGGGGGTCCTCTCCGAGACGGGAAAGGAAATTGCCCGTGCCAAGCAAACACCTCTCTCCGTTGTTCTAAGTTGCTTGACAGCTATTCGCCACGCAGATATCCTTTTCCTCTCAACGAACCGCAACACCCTTCAACTGACTAAGGGGACAAACGACGTCTTTCTCGCCTTCCCGGGCCCGAGGTTGTTACCCACGCGGAACACATCAAGTCAGTCGATAACTCGGCTCACCTCGGACTCGGAAGCCGCGTGGGCAAAAAATCCAATCCGGGCGGACGGGCCACCCCAGACCCGCGAACTATCTTACTCTTGCACACACACATCTCTCTCCTACTCTCCTCTCCGTCCCCTCATCCGTCCGTCTCTGCACCGCGTGGGTGCCCGTCCGCCCACAATCCGATCCAAGGTCCGCCCAACATCAGATCAACCAAAGGAGAACCCCGAGTCAAACTCACCAAACACATACACACGTACGTACGTACTACATGTCCAATGCTCAAACTACGTTGCCCACTTCAGCCAAACCAAACCCAACTTTTGACATCTGAAAAAAAAAACAAGGAACCAAAAGAAAGGAAATGGTCTACACTGCAGAAGAAAGAGAGATCCGGGCTTTTCCCACACGCATATCCGTGGTCCCCCCATCCGACCACGCAACCCCAACAAAGAAAGTTTATCGAGCAACCGATTTGGGGCGAGTTGCACTCCTTTCCTCAACCCTCCCTCCCCTCCATCTCCTTCCGCACGGGGACAGTCAGTTCGGTCAGTCCGCCTCACTCCAGCTGAAAAACAACAACAACAAGAACAGCATGACAGGATGGTGAGAGCCTGGCCAGCTTTGAGGCAGGTCACACACGGTGGTCCCGTCAGCAGAGCGTGCGAGAAACTTTGTCGAGCCAAGGCAAGTCAAGGGGGGGAAACAACAACAACAACACCACCCGGGACGGGGACCCGAAAGAAGGCACAAGAGTCAGTCACAACTCTCGCCTAATCTCTCTCGCCCATTTTCGTCCCGAGAGAAATGCCATTTGCTGGCTTTTGCAAAAAAGAGATTCTAGAAGCACGAGATTTTAAACTTTAAATCGTGTAGATCACACAAGGCCAAGGGGCGAACACACGGCACATTGCGGACAATGATATGGAAACTGGAACTCTTTTACAATCCCGCCGATTCGGGTCAAGCCAAGCAAAGAGGAAAGAGCATTGCCGGCGCGCAAGTGGCAGCATATCGACCCCGTCACGGATACTCCATTTTCTCTATCTATATTCCTCGCCCGGTACATTTGCCAGAAACAGGCAAAGGCATCCCGCAGCCGCCCTTTCCCGTCAATCAAACCCCACGTACCACCACGCGGTGCTTTTCCACGCGTTCACGACTCGCCGTGTGATCTGATTCCCTCCGTACGGCAGCATACCTACCTGCTCTTCCCATGAATCTGGGACCATCCGGGGCCCTCGCACATAACGGCAGGCAAAGCCGCTGGGGGGAAGGCGGCCCACTATCGAGCAAAGCGGAAGCCAGCATATATCAAAAGACAGGGCAGGTTCATTATGCGTTCTGGAGTCATGCTGAGAAGCTATACCCGGGGATGATGGAGGGTCCCCCGTCCGAACCGAGGGAATGGAGTGAAGCTCGACGCCCACGTATAGTCAAGGTCATCGGCACCGCGAGCAGGACCGTACCGGCTAGAGGAACAGACAAGAGGTGGCGGGATAGATCTGCTGAACATCATGGACCAGGGCCGTCGACGGCTGTCCTAATACTGCAGCTAGACGTCTTTAGACAACGAAGGGTATCTATCCGTAGATAGGTTGCCCCTTCGCCTGTCCCCGTTGCCACTGGCCACTCCCAAATCATCCCTCGGTCACAAGACCGAATGGCAAAGTAGCACAGCTTACCATGGCCTGAGTACCATCTATTCTATCTGCTTCCCAGCTTTCCCAGGTTCCTTCGCCCCCAAAAGAGTTGGTTTCCAACCCCTTCAACCCTGGTGATCGACCTAGCCTTGCCGGCGCCAAGTGTCGAGGGCATGAAAGACTCGGCAAACCTTCCCCTCGAGAGTTCACGGAACGCCACGTGCAGGGAAGAGAGCTCCGTAGCAATGCGACTTGGTGGACTTCTCCTTCTTCAACACCATGGGTTGAAAGAAGTCACTCGCCTCCAATCAACCAGTCGGAGGAGACGCCCGCCGCTGACCAACAAGGTAGCCTTCTTGTTCTTTTTTCTGCTTTTTTCCAGGGGACCAACGAGTCAACCCGACGCGAGGGAGGCCCTTCCTTGCCTCCGGCCGGTGTCCCAAGTCTGAGCGCCTACCAGATCTTTATGCCTCAGGGTGGCATACACCAATAGCATTCGCAGACGGACGAAGACTGCAGTTTCAGGAGTCGATCTCTTCGTCCAGGGGTCCATCGGCGGGGCGACGCCGAGGGAGGGTAGAGCAGTCCAGCTGTGATGGGGATCTGGGAAGATCATGGTTGTTCGAGGCGGGTAGGGGACACACCTGTGGTCTGTGGCGGAAAGCGGGAGGAACGTTTGCCCAGATAGTTGGCAAGGTCAAGCAGGCTTGATGCCGACTTGTCAGTTCAGTAGCCGCAGCAGTTCGTTTGGGAAAGTTGTGGTTAGTGTGGCCGTGGCAGGCAGGATCTGACATGACGGGATCTCACGATTTACCTGAGAAGGGCGGACGACGGGCAGACGGGTAGGAACAACCGGCTACAGAGGCAAAGCTCGGTTACGAGATGAAGAGAGATGGAAGGATTCCATGCAGCTTGAGAGGCTATGTCGGCGCTTCCTCGTCCACAGACGCGGACTAAAGCAGTCGAGGCATGTGGCATGGCATGCCCACGAGGGCAAGTGAAGGCGACGCAGTGGCGGCTGATGGTGGGGACGACAATGGGCGCCAGAGAGAGACAGAGAAGCAGAACGTCTGTTAGTTACGAGAAAGACTGGATATCTCGTCTGTCAATGTTTCAGACATCTGCCCGAGTGGTACCTGTGCAACTCGGGCACGGCGTCAAAGCACATCGCCAGAGTGGGTGAAGGCGTGCGCCATCCATGCTGTGCAGGAACCGACTAGACTCTGGTGTTTATCGCTTCGGACGAGGACTGAAAAGAGAAGGACGGTGCGTGGGCGGGAGGTGGGAATCGGATTGGCCCTGGCACAGATCTTTGTGTTCATGGGACTGCTAGGCGGCGAAACAAGCATGGCGATATGAAACAAGAGCGGTGGGCGGTAGAGGTGAAGGAGGTATGGGTAAAAGACTCGATGGCAGAAGCCGTCAAGTTTGAGGTAAGGCCAAAAAAAGAGCACCTAGTAAGCTAGGTCCCGTATATCCAAGTTGGGAGCTGGCATTGGCCAGTTGTTGCCTCGTCCGCATCTAGAGGTCGGCGATGTGATATTGTTCCGGGTCTTTGCTCCGAGTACGGGGTCGACGGCGTCCGCACACCGTATGTACACGAGAGGACAAGGCTGGCGACTAGCATGATTCGAGAAGAAGATATAGCGGAACTTCATAGCTAGTTCATACGGGATCAAGCGCAGTCAGGCAAGCCACAGATGCTTGTCTAGCTGTCTAGCTGTTTGTCTCCGTGTCTATCGAAGCTCGCGAGGCTCGAGTATAGGAAAAAGAAGCACCAGTCCGTGTACACTAGATCTCCCGGTCGACCGTCCGTTCCCATCATAGGATCCGTGACAGCGGAGCCCGTCGAAGGAAGGCATGCTTGGAACAGCCACTTTGGCAGCTTCTGGTTGTTGATAGTATGGATCCCATGAGAGGTGTCGGACCTCAGTTGAGCCAACCGGAACGCACCAACGACAGATACCCTGCAAAGGGACTGTGAGTTGAACGCAAGTGCGGTTGTCCAGGCCCAGCCTTGCTGGGGAGATCCCTTTCGTTTAGCAACCTCCAAGAGCTGAGCGAGCATGTTCAAAGCTGACATAAACGGCCGATCGCTGCCTCAAGTCGTTCTGGAAGACGATGTGACATGTCCCTAGAAAGTCGTCGCCCGTGTTTCATGTACCTGAAAACCGCCCCTCTCGCCGTGTTTCGGGTGCTGCACAACATTGGCTCCAAGCACACTTGCACCCTTCCAGACCACCCAGGAAAGCTAGAAAAGCTAGGAAAGCGGCGAAGCCCTGTGAACAAGCCCGCCGGTTGCAGGGAAAACTGGAGAAGGCCTGCGGGTTGACATCAACACGAGCTTCTGCCCGTGGTTTGCGCAAAGCGAACTAGGCATTGTCGTATCGAGGGTGGGGGAAACTTGTTGATGGAAACCGCGGTGGAAATAGATGGCTGGGTGCATGCTGCTGTCGCATCGTTTACACTTCTTCTCCGCCGTCACCGCAGCTGGTGCGGATAGGGATTAGGGAGAGAGAACCACACCGTACAGGCTGGTTCATGCACGAATCATACTTCGCCATGGGGGAGCGCGGCCGGCACGGCTGCTGGGCGCCAGTGTCCCTGAGGTTGTCGTGTATGCCCACCACCACCACCACCACCACCACCACTACCACCAGCCACGACGCGGGTCGAGGACAAGTCGACGTCGAAAATGTCATGTTTCGTCGACTCAGCGAGGCGAGGAAGATCGGCCGTCCCTTCCCTGTTGTTTCAGAGTTGCTCTGGGTTTGGCAGCCTTTCCCATCTCCACTGAACCGGATCCAGGGAACTCGACGTGCTTTTTGAGTTCAAGGGTAGAGTTGGTCAGATGTATTCGTATCTGCTTCCTTGAACTGCAGTCAGTCGTCATGACCGGTGTCAACCAGGATATGAACAACGCATCGGGCCCTGTGGTAAAAGTCCGAAAAAAAAGTCTCTTTTTCCTTTGCAGTAGCCTGTAGGCTGGTGGAACTCGCCCACAATGGTCGGGAATTATTGTGCAGATTTGACAGGTGAGCGGCAGGTAGGCCGGTGGTGGCGAGTGACGGCTACCGTCGACCAGCCGCCGCCGGAGAAATAATGGACGGCGGTAGCGCGAGGTCGCCGAGGCCCCAGCGAGGTCGACTGCCGATATACCCAGATCCTCGTCTCTCACGCTCCTTCTCGGAGGTTCAAGTTTCATCTCATGGCTGGAGTCGTTCCTCGTAGCGTGCCATTGCCAGACGAATGGCCATCCCCATCACAGGCAAGCCTGGCAGCAAGGAGGGCAATGTTTCCATGCATGATGTCCCAAGTCTATGCAGGCAGGCGAGCACATCACTTTGGTCGGCTGGGATGTTTCTATTCCTGTTTCCTCGACCACGAATACTGTGCCGGCGGCAAGGACCTCGACCTGCTGGCGGCCGGAGCCCCGCGCGAGCTAGGCGGGATGATGAGGAGAGAGAATAAAATAGGAGATCTGCTGATGCGGTGTGAAGCCGAGATGGACCATGGTCGAGGTGAAAGGCTCGCAGGTAATCTCAGCAGCCGCCAGGCGCACACTGTACTGGGGCGAGGCGGCCGAAGGTTCTGCGACCCGATCTCACTCCCGCATGTGCCGTGCAACGATTCCCAGATGAATGGGCAGTGATCTCAAAAAAGCAAAAGCTATTTCTGGCCCATGTTGACCAGTGTGATGCGAGTAAGGGTAAGCGTGGGCGGATTGGTCGTGTGCATGCGCAAGTGGTATATGGAGTACGTTGGTGGTTGGGTACGGAGTAGACGGGATATGTGTGTGTGGTGTGTGGTGCTTGGTGTGGTCTGGAGGTGGGACGGGAAGGAGACCAGGCCAAACGCTGGGAGAGGGGCGGCAGCTGGCAGCAAGCGCAGGCAGGCAGGACAGGACAAGAGCAGACAGGCAGGGGAGGGGCAGGTGAGGTGGGAGCGAGAACGGGACGCCCCACTTGAACATCATGGAATGAATCTGAGGGAACCAATGAAAAGGCTGAGATGCTCCTAGCGCCTACAGGGCAAGCTCTTCAGGAATATCATTGGCTTCTGCGGCTTAAGCTTAGGCCGAATCCACCAGGGTCCATTTCTGAAACTGCCCACAGCTGCCCACACGGCATCAGTCAGCAGAACCCGACTGGCACTATCCCGACAGACGCTGGGCCCCAAGGGCCTCACTTTGAGTGACCACGGCATCACGCTCCTCTTCCTTTTTCCGCTTGCTGGTGCTTGGCCCATTGTGTGTGTGTGTGTGTGTGTGTGTATGTGTGTGATCCATGAGCATGCTTGGGTCGCTCACTGGTCAAACAGGCCCATGATATGACGAATGATACTAATCCAGCATCCCGGCCTCGAGGGGTCTAGACTTGATCACCATTCTTTCCTCAACGGATAGATGTTGCTTAGTGCATGGTACTCCACGCCCGAAGCAAAAAAAAGCTCCGTCAGTGGTTTGTTTGGTGGAGACGAATCCATTTTACCGCATTCCTCAGGCGTTACGCTTTGTCTCTGAATCTCGAGTCTGAGTCTCTGCTTCTCTTTTCCCACATGATGTCTTTTTTCGAAAAAGAGTGGACATCAACAACCTTGTGCCGCGTGCGCAGCGTACGGATACCCAGCTACTGGGGACCTGAATCGCTTACAAGTTGCTCTACCCGTGTTCGCACCAGCATTGGAACTTGAGAGCGCTTGTTTTGGGCTTCTTGCGACGGCCGAGCTTCGACAAACTTGGGACCGCTTGGAGACTCAAAATAGCAGCAGGCAACGATTGCCTCAGTAACTCGACTGAATAACTCGACTGATTCGTCCATTTCGTCCCAGCTTCCCAAGGACATGAATGTGACGGCCAGCTTAGGAAATGGCCTATGCGCAGTCCAGAAGCGGCACGCATCCCGGCCGAACTTCCCTTGCCTGGCTTGCCTTATCCCCGTCACCGCATTCTCCGTTGACGAAAGTCTCACGATGCTGTCCGCGCGGGACAGGATGCACCTGTCAGGGGGAGAATGATCGTCGTTGATTCTTCCAAAGCTTCCCGATGCCCCTCTTTTGTTTGCCGCTACCACCAAGAATGCAGAAGACGGTAAACATTTAAGATTACGGAGGGGCTTTGCAGATGGTATCATGGCATTCGACCCAGCGGAAGAGCTTCCTATTTAGGCCGTGTCTCCGTCCTCATCGCTTGCCCGAGTTCAACCCCAGTCCGGGACCCCGAACCGTGAATTCCATCACCTGAACGACCTCTCTTCACCGTGGCATGTACGGAGTACAGAGTACGGGTACGGGCGGTAGAGGGATGGAGTGCAACTCGTGCTGAAGGGAAGGGAGGGCGATAGACGACAGTTCCCAGACAAGCGGGTGATGCCTGGCCGTGCGGGAGGTCGACAGCGGTCAACATGAACTCTCCCATCCTGACCGAACGCACTGAAGTCGGCCAGGGTAGCGGGACGATCAGGCGAGGTGGGAAAGCTGGTCGCCGTCTTCTCAAGACCCGGACCCGGACCTCGACCTAGTTCTAGCGTGGGCTTGCCTTGTCAGGAACTTAGCAACCATACAACCATTATCCTCGCCCACGCCGAAGACAAAGGCGAAAGCTACGAGTCTACACAGCGATTAGTGTACGAATTCTGCGTACTCGGCGGGGGAGGGTGTTCAGGCGTGAGGCAGGCGACGTGCAGCTGGCATCTGCTGGCTTGGAGTTTCAGAAAGCTCGGGGTAGCGTGCGTCGCATTCTGGCAGGATGATCAAACAGCCACAACCATGGTCCATCATCCATGAACAACATCCCGCCGACGGCTCCCTCCACCGCGCAACAAGGCCGGTTTGCCGTCTTGTCAAGAGCAGTGCAGGACCGCAGGCTGATGCTTGAGATCTCGTACCTTGCATAGAGAGGTACAGCGCTGCCGTCCGAGGTTCGGCCGTCGCCTCCATTCCAACGTCGTGTCTTGCTCCCGACTTGACCCATGGGCCATGAACCTGCCCATCCTGGATCCATATCGAAGGCGGCCTTTGCCCTCCTTCGCGGCGGATCGCAGCTTTGTGGAACCGACTGCAGCGATTCTGAAAGAAAACGAGCAAAGAGTATCGCATTACCGAGTTCTTGTTTTTGTTGGTCCCGTACGAAGGATGATGTCGGTTTAATCCCCGAAAGGTCCACTCTATCGAGTTCATGTCCGCACTGAGCAGAAAGTGAGGACGGTGTTCCGTAAGGCCACCGTAACGGTCAGGTATTGAGGCCTTGGCCCGGATCGGATGGCAAGAGTCGAAAACGGGATGGCTCTGGAGCCCGATATTCTCCACATGGCCGAAATCGTGTTCTGTTCCTAGTCAGTCACTCAGTTCAATATCAAGACACGATTCAAGCGACCCCATTGACGACACCGTGCAGATGCTGGGAAGAACACAGAGAACCGTGCGGATAAATGATGGCGCAGTCGGAGCATACTTTGACTGCCCAGTCATTGTGAGTGGTGACCATTTCAACAGTAACCAGCAGGTGCAGTCGTTGGGAGACTAACGTAGAGCATGCAGGCGGAGCGAAAATCGTGGACCAGTATGAAAGTGTAGAGTGATGTGCATGAAAGCTGCTGAGGGGACGAGCGCCATTTGGCCGCAAAACCTGGCCTGTCAGCCTGTGATATTGTCGAGAGGTTATTCGGAAAGCCTGAAGGCATATCGCCCTAATTGGTGTAAGGCCGTCCAATGAATCCTGGCACGACGGAGGGCCAAAGCCACCACCAGTGTTGCCGGACACTTCTTTGGTCTACATCGTAGCTCGCGGCAGCGAATCATCCCGTGTTGGGCGATTCTGATCTTCGCTGTACGCGGTGTAGTGTGATAGGTAGGTCGGGCTGGCGGGACGTCGTGACTCGATGAAAGCAAGCGTTCCTGGCGAGAGAGGCACGCGAGTTGGAGGGGCGTGAGATAAGCGAAAGGGGGGCAGTGGTTACAGTTGCAACTTTGATAGAGGGACGATACTATAAGCGGATTAGCGCTTGATTTTGGTAGCCAAAGCTGATTTCTGAAGCAATGCGCCAGGCAAGTTTCACAGTTGGCAGGGCCCTGCCAGCAATTCTGCGGCAGCGACACGCAGTTTCCAAAGTGGACATAAGCAGAGTACGTACTGCAGCGCTTTTCGTGTAGGTGACCTTTGCCTAACATTTAGGGCAGAAAACTACCCGATCCCCACTCCACATCTTTGCTAGCCAGTCAACTTCTGGCTTGGCTAGTGGCCCTAGCTTCTTTCTCGCGTCATCCACTTTGTTCCGACCTTCCTGCATGGCTCTCGCTTTCTCTGTCGATTCGTACCTTTTTCACCCAGAACCGCGGCAGGCCGCACGACACTGACTACGCGCACGATCACATTCAGAGGGCGACCATTGGCGAGCTATGTACGAAATTTGCTGAGATGCCGCAGTCCCTCGCTGGCCTATTGTCGCATGTGTGCTATGGCATCCCATCATACTGGCCGGGAATGGACTGAGATGAAAAGGTGCGTTGTTCTGAATGCAATCTGTTGATGGCTAACTACGCTAAAGCGTGACGGCCTCCACTGTCTTGGACTTATCAATCTCCTTTGTTTCTCTCACACTCAGACAAATGCGGCCGCGGACCACTCCGTGTGACCAGAAGACAAGGCTGGAAACAACGTTATAGGGTCTTGACTCTGGAGCTTGAGTCTTGACGAGGAATGCAGCGTGTCTGAAGCCCACGACACATCCCATCAACGGCTCGCTTCCAACGGTTGATGTTCTCCACGACCGGGAGCTGTGACGGTCCGAGCGTGCTTGTGGCAGCTGGCAGGCAAAGCAAGTTGCTTTCGTACAATACCGTGAATACCTACACTATCTGTACAGTCTCTGAGTCTACGGGTACTTTCCTACGCCATATCAACGTACTCGATAAGCCTGCCGATCCATCGGCCGCTACTGTCACCGACTTCACTGCCCAGGGACTCGGACCTGCATTTCGACCCTCAGCTGATGGCAACAGCGTCACATCGGAAAAAGGCGCGCTCTGCATTCTTTCAGGGGCACAACACGAGCCTCTTGATGAGATGACGAGCCGAACTTATCCAGTACCCTTCGTCGCGAAATCGACGCTTGTCGAGAAAGGGAGCATATCCGATGTGCCCCAAGTCGAGAGCCACGTTGTTGCACAGGCTTTCGACGACGACCCTACGACCTTTTTTACCCACTGACTATTGGCGTCGCGGCGTCTACTTTCACGAATTGTAGTTCTCCTCCTCGCAGCCTCAACGGTCTTGCCTGCTGCAAGTATATGGCTTTGGCAGTCAGTCAGCCACGGCCGTCCGAGCTGCGCGTCTTGCTGTTCCAAGAGACAGCTTTCAACTCGTAGTGGACTTGTCTCATTAAACTACCAGAGTGCTCGGACTGAGCGAACCTCACCGGTGCTGTCGTCGGCCGCTGCGGCGTATTCGTCCGTCCTCGTGCAAGTGCTCAGGAGAAGGCAATCTTACAAAATAATGGCAGCGATGTGTCAACTATTGCAGCCATTGCATCCATTGCATTCCGAGCAAAACGCGAAAAGTCACTCGTGGAGCTGGAGCTGCTGCTGGACCCCCAAAACAAGCGATATTGCATGTGGAGATTATTGGGCAGTCTCCTCACGTCTTGTTGCTGATGACCTGCACGATAGCCATGGGACATGCATTACCGTTCTCTAGCAGGCCTGCCTAAACCTTCTTTTCCCTCTTCATCCTTTGCTCCGTCAACACCCCTGGGCCGGTTCTGGTCTTGCTTCTCTCTTCCTCTTTTGATCGTGCCGAAGAAGAAGGCTTCATTTCACCGGACATCCAACCCAATGCAACATGCAAGTAAGAGACACGGCTCCGGATCTTGCTCTGCAAAGACCATCTGGGAGCCGGACGGCCCCGCTGCAAGGACCTGGCCTGCTCCGGTTCGCGGAAGACAATGGGAGAGTTCGCGAGATGCGATGACTTGTCTGGTTGGCCTGCAGTATATGAGTATACTCTGTCAGACAGCTGTGCATAAAATATGTCAAATCCCGACAAGTCGACTTATCCAGAGTTTGGCTACGCCCTGACCTCCAGGTCTCTCTTAGTCTAGAGTCTTATCCCAACATTGTTGCCGGCCTTTTTCGTCAGCTTTCTCTCCGCTGTCTCCGACGACGCCTCATTTTCCGTTCCTGCATGGCTGAGAGACCGGATCCACATGTCTTGCTCCCTTCTGGCAAACCCTTCGCCCATTGTCTTTGGCACTGCTGGTTCGTCACACACACACACAGACACGGCCGTTGCCGTCGTCACAAACAATCACGAAAAAGGATACGATCCGGACAAGGTCCGCCGCGGCGAACCATTGATTGTTTCTGGGGACGGGGGGGGGGGGGGCACAAGTGTCCTAGACCAACAGCATGGGTCTCTCAATCATGATTCAGAGATTCGTCAGATCCTCGTTCAATAGCCGGTTGCTTGCGGCGTGGTAAGTAGAACAAGCAAGCTGCGTCTGTTTCGACTTGTGCGGACGGGTCGGTTCTAGACGTACGATGGGAAGAGAGTCAATGTAACTGTAGTTCCGGGCCACTTGTTGTTGCTGCCCATTAATAGAGAGCACATATTGAAGTATTGCCATTTTTTATTTTAATTTTCTGGTGCCGTTCCTTGTCTACCTTCCTGCACCCGCAGCCAAACGACCCATACCCAGAAGGATAGAACCAAAGACCTTGTCAATAGTAGAACATGGGGTTATCCATGACAGGGCCTCACGGACGGCCTTTCAGCAGCAGACGGTCGCCCAGAATTGTCTCCCGCTGATGTAGGTACTTCGTTCTAAAAAAACCAACGATGCTGAAGCGCACAACGCTCAGGTCTCGCACGCGGCCGGATCTTTTCTTCTTGCTGCCCCTCCTCTAGCGTCTTGCGCGTTGTGTGAGAATACAATGACTTGAGTACATGCTTCCCCAGCACGATCCATCCTAGCCAGTGCGACCACCCATCAGGGGAATTGTATCTTGTGGTTTTGCTTGGGGGGTTCTTTGGACCGGTATTCGTGGTTGTAGCATGAAGATATGAACCAGCCCAATTCAAGCCACCTCTGGAAAAGACACCAATCAGTGGCCTGAGACTAACGACGAAAGTTGACCGTCTCATCAACCGCCAGACGCCGCTAGCCAAGCATCTTCAACGGGATCACCATAGCAAATCGAGAATCTTGTCACTGCTGGATCTTGAACAGGAGTTAATCGATAATGGTGGGATGGGAGAAGAAGCATTTTGGCCAGGGCCCAGAGCAACCAAGCTTTCTGAATTCGCACTGCATTTTTCGGTCCCGTTAGATTCACCGCTGGGGGAAGAAATACACTGCCAAAGCAGACAGCAAGCAAGCCGGGCGGAAATTTTCCAACAGGCAATGACGAAAGAACGGCAGTACGGAGTACATGCGAATTAGACCTCTTCTAGGGTAGAGTTGCCCGCGTAAAGGCAGAAGATCTTCCCAGAGAATAAATGCGAGAAAAAAACCTCCGCTCGCCGCTGTCGACTGATTTTTCTTCTAGAGCGTATCCGTACATTATCTCCTTCTTCATTCCCCAGTTTTTCGATTCCATGCCATGGATGATGGTGTTCCCCTCCAAAGGAAGCCCGTTCACCGAAAACCAGAATCCTTGCTCCGGTCCTGTGTGCCTGGCATTGTTAGCAGGAAACTCTATCGGCACACCCTCTTGATGGGGTGTGGGGATCATGGATGGCGCCAAAAGTTGCATCCCAGCCCAGGGTTTGGGCGCGCGACCCAATGGCACGAATAATTTTTTTCTTCAAGATTTGATGCCCTTCACTGCATTTTCTGGGTCTTGCGTGGGAAAAATGTCAAGGACGGGGAAAACGGGCCATGGTAAAGTTCAACGGTGCAAGCGTAATGACCACACACGGAATCCCGCCACAGAAATCGATGATGGGCATATCGGCACCGGGATGGAAATGAGATTCCCCTGGACTATCGAGATTAGGTCCGGCGCCCGGGTTTTTTAACCTTTGGAGAACAAGCTTAGAGAGCGTTCTGTCACGGCGTGCCGCCATCCGCCCAGTACATACATACACTACCACGACGGGGGGCCCAGCGGAACACGATGGGGACTTAAGGGGGGATCTACTGCTAGACATCTCGGGGCCTTTTACGGAGGAGGGGGATGCGCATATTAATCCCGAGAAAGGGCAGTGGAGATGGTTAGCCTTGCCTTGCGCCGGCCGTTGACTGCCTGTTTTTGATGAATATCCTAGAGAATTCTGGCCGGGTCCCTTGAGCAGAGAGAGCAGAGCACAGCACAAGGAGTAAAGAGACCAGACTTCGTTTTTTTTGTGCAAGAGAGAGACAGAGACAGAAGAGCGTTGTCCTCAGTCCACCATCCCTGACGACAACAGAAGAATCCGGTCTTCCTGTTGGCCAAGGCCAAGGGCCCCAACTGCAACCAAACCCACTGATGCCCATCGAAATGGACCACTGCCGTTCATGGGCGCCGTGGACGATGTCCGCATGTCGCCCCCCCTGGCGGAAGGGAAGCCCTGACAGGAAGCAGAGCAAGGTTGTCGGCATCAATGACATGCGAGGTCCAGCATGTTAGTGGGTTGGGTTGGGTCGTTGGAGGGAGAGGGAGAGAGATGGTGGAGGGGGGACTTGTTACGCAGGGACTGCCACTGACAGTGACTTTACATGTGCATTGTGCGGCTATGGAGAACCACCAGACGCAGACAGTCATCGAAGACTCTAGGGCCTAGAGCGAAGGGCCGCGCGAGACTTGTCTGACCATCTAACTGACTTGGCTCAGCGCGTTGAGCGAGAGTGAGAGCGCGAGACTTTCTCCTCCTCCTCCTCTTTCTTTAGTCAACGCAAGAAAGCCGCAAAAGGCGCGAGCGCAGGCAAGGGACAGACAGCGAGCGCGAGTGGGAGCCAATGTCAGTGTCAGTGTCGCTGTCGCTGCCAAAGCCAGTCAGTGTTGTTGCCGTCCGCTCTGTCGGCGGTTGATGGGTTTCCTGTAATGTCCCCCTTCGCTACGCGGTGCGGACTGCGGTGCTCTGCATCCCGCTATACGTATTATCCTAGGTGCTTAACACGACACCTTAGTTTTTACTCGCTTGGGGGCGCCGTTGTGTCTTGTAAGCGGTATGTAGCGATATTGCTTTGTGGACACACGAGCTTGCCGGCAACTGGGGCCTGCTTGTCCGGGGCTTCTTGTCTACATACCTAGGTGGTCCGTAGTGAATCGTCCTTCTCTCGTTTCTGCAAGATGCAATTCCCTATCCTGGACCAACTCAACTAGATCCATGATCTTAGAACGGGTCAGATAGACAAATAGAGAACGAGAGGTACAGAGGGACGGAAGAGAGACATTTGGCAGATACATTGTCTCGGGGCCGCTTTACCGGTTGCAAGCGAGAGAGACTTTGAAAGTGGTTCACCCCTGGTACAACTAAACTCAACTCAACTCTCGTCACCTCTCATCCACCACCCCTTACTTTTTTCTGTACCCTACATACATACACTTTCCGCCCAGATGCCCCGTGCGCAAAGGAAGAGAAGAAGAGGTGAAGAGAGATGAAAGAAGAAGAAGAACCAACCTACCAGGCTATCAGCCAAAGCTATGCCGATTGCGAAAGCCTTTGCCTTTTCTCCATCACACCTGCCTCCCCCGCGGGGGGCCTGGCCTGGCGCGGCGCGCCGTCCTTCTTTCACACTCTATCTCTATCTCTCTTCTCCCTATTTCAAAAGTGACTACGGATAGTGTACAGAGCTCCAGATAGAGACTCTTTTCCTACAGCGGCCAAGCGAGAACGACGGGGCCTGGAATTTCGTCAGATGGGGCTAAGAGACAGACACTTGGGAGCGGGAAAGAAAGAAAACCGTCCGGATTAGCAGCGGCCATCTTTCTCTTGTCTCTCAACTCTCACTCTAAAGTCTCGGGAGCAAAGGCTAATTCCAGGTCCGGCCAATCGGCGATCCACAAAGATTCCCTGGGCACCCCCGGTTGGTACTTCCGCACGCTTTCTCTCCCCTCCATCTGGTGGTGCCGTGGTGGCCACCCCGTA